GGGAGGGGGAGGCGGGGAGCGCGCGGCTGGCGGCCGCCGGCGGCGGGGGGAGCGGGGGAAACCTAGTCGCAGGAGCGGGGGAAACCTAGATCACCGTTTTACTCTAGACCCAAGATTTACAAAATTAAACGTTTTCTTTGCAGATGAAGGAAGTGGTGTGACAGCTGCTGTCCTTAGATGATAGGGATCAGTTTATCCCCGCGCAATGTAAGTTCATTCCACTTGCAGCTGATGCAATTACCACGGAAGCGACGGCTATGAGACATGGCTTGGCATTTGCCAACTCTTTTGGTTTCAATAAGATTGAAGCGGAGTCAGATTCACTTTTAGTAATTAATTTTGTTCTGATCATACGAGATGGTGGGATGAAGCCGCAGCACTATTTGCGGAATTGTGTGGACATAGGTACTGCAATTGAGATGATCATGTTTAAGCATTGTTTTCGTTCATGTAACCAAGTGGCTCATAGCTAACTTTAGTTTTTGTAATAATTCTACTATTACTTGGTTGGATGAACCTTCTGACTTTATTCTCGGCAAGTTCATAGACAATATAAACATTTTTTCAATTCAATAAAGCTAGCCATGATAGCCTTTCTAAGAGAAGATTCCTTCAAAACAAAAAAATGGCAGAAAATCACGAATTTCAAAAATACAATAAAATAATTTCATGGAAAAAATACAAAATATCTATTTTTTCTAGATTTAGAAAAGGGAAGCAAAAAATCATAATTTTGCGGAAAGTCACAAGTACCAGAAATAGAATAAATCAATTTAAAAAATCATAATTCTGGCTTTAGATGTTAGGTTTTGGTGCGAGGTCTGTTTGATATTCGGCTCGGACTTTCGGCATCCCTTCATCAAGTGGTTATGAGTAGCGACAAATGTTGCGATGATGGTGGTTTCAGACTTATTGATGTATTACTTGTTGGGGAACACAGTATTTCAAAAAAATTACGTACGATCACGCAAGATCTATCTAGGAGATGCATAGCAACGAGAAGGGAGGGTGTGTCGAACGTCAACCAAAAGCGGAAGCGTTTAGTAACGCGGTTGATGTAGTCGAACGTCTTCGTGATTCAACCGATCCAAGTACCGAACGTACGGCACCTCCGCGATCTGCACACCTTCAGCTCGGTGACGTCCCTCGAACTCTTGATCTAGTTGAGGCCGGGGGAGAGTTCCGTCAGCACGACGGCATGGTAATGGTGATGATGAAGTTACCAACGCAGGGCTTCGCCTAAGCACTACGACAATATGACCGAGGTGTAAAACTGTTGAGGGGGGCACCACACACGGCTAAAGATCAACTTGTGTGTCTATGGGGTGTCCCCTCCCCCGTATATAAAAGAGGGGAGGAGGAGGCCGGCCGACCCTAGAGGGCGCTCCCAAGGAGGGGAGTCCTACTCCAAGTAGGAATCGGCTCCCCCCTTTCCTAGTCCAAGTAGGACAAGAAGGAAGGAGAGGGAGAGGGAGAGGGAAAGAGGGGCCGCGCCACCCTCCCCTAGTCCTATTTGGACTCCCCTTGGGGGGGGCACCTCCTGGCTGCTTCCCTCTCTCTCCCCTAAGGCCCACTAAGGCCCATTACTTCCCCGGAAGGGTTCTGATAACCCTTCCGACACTCCGGTTTTATCCGAAATTATCCGAAACACTTCCGGTGTCCGAATTGTTGGAGAACGTAGTAATTTCAAAAATTTCCTACGCACACGCAAGATCATGGTGATGCATAGCAACGAGAGGGGAGAGTGTTGTCCACGTACCCTCGTAGACCGAAAGCGGAAGCGTTAGCATAACACGGTTGATGTAGTCATACGTCTTCATGATCCGACCGATCAAGTACCGAACGCACGGCACCTCCGAGTTCAGCACACGTTCAACTCGGTGACGTCCCTCGAGCTCCGATCTAGCCGAGTGTTGAGGGAGAGTTTCGTCGGCACGACGGCGTGATGACGGTGATGATGTTCTACCGACGCAGGGCTTCACCTAAGCACCGCTACGATATGACCAAGGTGGAATATGGTGGAAGGGGGCACCGCACACGGCTAAGGAACGATCACGAAGATCAACTTGTGTGTCAACGGGTTCCCCTTGCCCCTGTATATAAAGGAGGGAGGGGGAGGTGCGGCCAGCCCCTAGAGGTGCGCCTGGAGGAGTCCTACTCC